TTCCAAATAAGCAGAAATTAAGGGAATTTGTTGAAACCAGACCAACCTTATGAGAAATGCTAAAGGGAGCCCTTTGGACAGAGAAGCAACAACAGCCAACAACAACTGACCATTAACACACATGATAATATAACCCAGAAACCAACCCAGCTATGGAAGTATCCAAAGTAAATAAGCCTACAAGCAGGGAATCAGAGACACCAACTGACAAATGAGGAAAACTACAAACCAAAAAGAGGGAAAAAATTCTCTGTCGTTAAAGAACTTCTAGATGGTAGGGAAGTCAACACAACTACAAGACAGAACGGACTGTTCTAAACTTGGGAAGAAAACTATAAATCAGAGTAACCTCAAAGAAAAATGATAAACCTTCACATCAAAATAAAAAAGAGGACCAGTATAAATATTCAGCAAATAATAAAACAATAGCAATGAAGGAAATGATAACATGATTCGTAAACAAAACAAGCTCAGCATAGAAAATTATATGGAACAAAGAAATCAACACCATAAAACTAGTGGGTGAAAGCCGGAGGAGTTATAGTATTTTTGCATGATCTCAGAAAATCTCCCCTCCCAAGATACTTATTTAGATACAAAAAGAAAATAGGAGAAACCTGACAGACACCACCTTAGCCAAGTTATCAATGCTAGCCAGCATCATCAGTAAGGAACAAATCAACATCTGGTGCACCTCCTGATTTGATGCACTGACAAAAATACAGCACCATTCTGTGATATTCCTGCCAATCTCATCATGAAAAACATCAGACAAGCCCAAATTGAGAGACACTGCACAAAATAACAGGTGCATATGTTTCAAAAGGGAGCTAGCTCTGATGGCATAGTCCCTGTTCCGGTTACCTAGTGATACTCTGACAAGAATATACCACAAATGGGATGGCTTAAACAAACAAGGGTTTATTCCCTCACAGTTTGGAGGTTTTAACTGGGATTAAAGCCTTCAACTGGGGTTCAAGTGCCAGGCTCTAGGGGATGGGTGAAAGCCCCTTAACCTTGGGCTTTAGCTCTGCCTCTTGCTCCCAGCCCACTGAAGCTAGAGGCTTTTCTTCACTCAGACAGCTGCTGGCTGCTGAGACTGACAAGCCCAAGGTTGAGACGTAAAAAAGGCACAGTCCCAATGCTACCAAACCACATGGCAGGCCATTAATTCAAGTGCATTGAAAGTCCCAAGGTCAGCAGAGCATAGCAGCCTGCTAAACAACAAGGCTACATGCAGAGTTCAAGTGTGCAATAAGCTAGAAACCATTCCCAAAACGGTTTCTTATATATAGGAAGCAGACCACATACCCAAAGAAGTTACTCAGCTGCTCCAATAGATTCCACCATGGAGTTAATTACCAATCTCACCATGGGGAATAACTATATTCAGCTGCCCAGCCAATTAACCAGGCCCAGGCAAATTGACACACAAACTTAACCACCACAGTTCCTAAGGGATTTGACTAACCAGAAGGCTGGCGGTTCAAACCCATGAGCCACTCCTCAGAAGACAGATCGGGCAATCTACTTCTGTAGAGATACCCAAGGAGGGGTTGCTATGAGTTGGGATTGACTTGACAGCTGTGAGTTTATGGTTCAAGATGTCAATGTTATAAAACATACACAAAAAAAAACCCCACTAAGTCTCCAGATTAAAGGAGACTAAAGAGACATAACAACTGAATCAAATGCATAACCCAGGATTTTCTTTTGCTATAAAGAACATTGGGACAATTGCTAAAGTCTGTAAAAGATCTCTAGATTGGATAACAGGATTGTGCCAAAGTCAATTTTCTGATTTGAAAATTATACAATGATTATGTAAGAGAATGTCCTTTTTTAAAAAAAATACACACCCATTTAAGTATTTATGGATAACGAGATCACGACTACAATTTACTCTCAAACACTTGAGAGAAAAATAACATATGTATACGTATATGAACAGAGAGGGAGAGACAGATAAAACAAATGTGGTAAAATATGAACATGGGGGATATGGGTGAAAGATAATGATAAGTCTCTGTACTACTGTAACTTCTCTGGTAGTCTGAAAGTATGTCAAAATAAAAATTTTAAAAATATCATATACCTCAATTTTCACTAAGTCAAAATAACCTTCACAAAATAACCTAATCATGGTAAATAACAAGTTTTATTCTATACCTTCTTTGCCTCTCTAGGGATATTAAAAGCAGTACGATTATGACTGGCGTGGGGAAAGGAAACTAAAGGCTGAAGTAAGGCAGCAAGACCAAAGAGAGTAAGGTGAGTTCTTTCTCACTGGTTACTTGTTATGATACAGGAAAATCAATAAACAGCTGATCTCAAAAGCCATCAAAAAAAAAAAAAACTGATACACCTGACTAAATAAAAATATAAAACTTCTACGTGGAAAAAATATCTTAAACATGTATAGACAAATTTACAAAAAGAGGCAGATTTACATATGAAAAGACAGCCAGGATATAGTAGTTGAGTGAAAAATCTAAGCTGCAGAAAAATATATACAGTATAATCAAGTTTGTGTAAATAAAAAAAGTCACTCTTCTAAATGCAAAAAAAAATTTCTGATGGATAAACAAGAAACATTCAATAGTGGCAATCTCTGGGTGTAAGTATAAGTGACCTAAGAATTTTGGGGTTTTTTTTGTTTTGTTTTCTTTAAATCATAAAAAAAAATTTAAATAATTGACTTATTTCTTGAGGAAGTAGAAAAACTTGAACTTGAAATGTAAAACGGTACAGCCACTTTAGAAAATAATTGGCTGTTTTTTAAAACAATAAACATAGATTTAACAAGCAATTTCACTTCTAGTTATCTACCCAACAATGAAAGCACATGTTCACACTATGTTGGGGGCTAAAGGAAGGAATGGGAGTATTTTGTTACCTCTGTGCTGCTCTTAACAGAAAATACCACAAATGGGATGGCTTTAACAAACAGGAGTTTATTCTCTTACAGTTTGGAGGGTTTAACTCCAAGTTCAAAGTGTCAGGCTCTAGGGGCTAAGTGATAGCCCCTCAACTTTGGGCTTCAGCCCTGCCTCCTGCTCCTGGCCCACTGAAGCTAAAGGCTTTTCTTCACTCAGACAGCTGCTGGCTGCTGAGGCTGACAAACCCAAGGTTGACAAGTAAAAAGAGAAAGTCCCGATGTTACCAAACAACACGACAGGCCATCGATTCAAGTCTACTGAAAGTCCCAAGATTGGCAGAGCATGGAAGGCTGCTAAACAACAAATAACTCAGCTACATGCAGGGTACAAGTGTGCCATAAGCTAGAGACCATTCCCTAATCTGCTTCTTATACACGGGAAGCAGACCACAGCCCTAAAGCCGCTATTCAGCTGCTTGTGGTAGATCCCACCATGGAATGGATTGCCAGTCTCCTCATGGGGAGTAACTGCCACCAGCTGGCCAGCCACTCAACCAGGCCCAGCCAAGTTGACACACACCTTAACAACCACAGGGAGTGACTACACACAGGCATTGGGGTGACGAAAATGTTCTAAAATTAGATTGTAGTAATAAGTGAAGCTCTGTAAATGTGCTAAAATCACTTAACATTAGTGAATTTTATGGTATATTCATTATACTATTTTTTTTAAAAAAATGATCAAACTGTCTGACAATTAAACAAATAGGAAAAAAATAAAAAAGAACTCTACTTGATAAGGGACCCCATTGGGTTTCTGAGGTGAAAAATCTTTACCTTCCGTGGAGTGGCTGATAGGTTTGAACTGTGAACCTTCTAGTTAGCAGTCAAATGCTTAGGCACTGTGCCACTATTTCATAAGAGATACAGAAACCACACATTCCTCTTAGTTTAGATCCACACAACAGTCTCCAGCCTCCCGCAAGCCTTACCTTTTCCAACCTCTCGGGACTTGGCATTGGTAATCTCTGCCGCTTGGCCTCCTGTTCTAGAGTTAGAAGCATATTTCTTTCTTTCAGTAGGACATACCTATATCAAAGAACACAAATCCTGTGATGCCATTCTATGGTTTATAATTAAGCTGTAACTTCTGATATTAACATTAATCATCTGTAGTCAAAATTCTTTTAGAAATCTCAATATACCAGGACTGGGGTAAGATGGCGGACTAGACAGAAAGACTGCACAGACCCTCTTCAACAAAGAAAAGAGAAAACAATTAACACAGACACAGAAGATAATCCCGGACCCCTGAGCCTTGAAAGCAATGGACTAAACCCCAACTAGCAGAAGAATTTGCGTGAAAATACCAAAAAAGGAGACAGACGGAGCTGCGGTCTGGCACGATCTTGAGTGATCCTGAAGGCATGGCACAGACAGCTTGGCAATTCCCGAGTGGTGGTAAGACCTAAGAATTAACCTAAAAATCAGCCCTGCTACCCAGGGACTGCACGAAGGACTGCTATGGTGGCTGGGGAATAAACGGAGAAGGTGAAGAGAAAGGCGGGCTGAGTTCTGGACTTTTGCCGGTTGGGATGGCGCCACCATTTTGAATGTTACAAGCAGCTTGACCATTTTGGATATTTAAAGAGACAGCACCCTCCGAGATTCCAGGGGCTTAAGAAGAGGTTCTGCTTTCCAGGAACCCCAAGGACACTCCAGACCTGCAAGACTGAAAAGGTGCGACATTCCTCATTACTCTTATACCTCACACCCACTTGGTGAACGGAGGTGCGGCCATCCCCCACTCCCACCCACCTTCTGGGCCCACAGGAACTCCATCACAGTCTGTGTGCTCAGACAGAGCCTGGGTG